TGAAAGATGTGAATTTTTGACAGTTTTAATATTGTTTCAAGGTTTTAGATAGAACGATTTGAATGTATCCGAATTAAAATATTCCATGTATAAGCTGGTCCTTCAACTGTTCGAAAATGAGATCTTTCTCTGAGATGTAACCTTTTTACTAGAAAACAAGGTAAAAATTCTCTACTGCTTTAGCAAATGAGTCAGTTCATCTATTGTTGTTCAGACTACTTCATATAAAACATCTGCATTATCTTAACCTACAATCGCTTTCCCAGCAGAGTTACATTTCGGGTTTAGCGGCAAAAAAAATGTGATCTCGTCTATCGCGTTTTCTATTACTGATATAAAAATAGTTTCATTTAGTTCGCAGATTTTTTCGAACCTACATCCCAAAGTAGAAAAAGCTCAAGGAAAATGAATTTTAAAATTTGCTAATTTTCATCTCTGCACGTTTCAAAATAAATCAAAGAGCAGAGTAAAATATCTGTACTTGGCCCCTTTGGACAGCTCTTGGCGTTGACCTCAGGCAGCGCAAAGAAGGTAGAAGGTCATCTTATAATTAAACTCGAGGAGGTGTAAAAAAAATGAAATAGTTGTAGCCTTACAAAAGTTACATATTCTGCTGCTCAATCACTCTTCATATTGGGTTGAGGAATAAGGTCCCGCCTTTTTCTTAAAATTCAAAATTGCGCGTTGAAAATGAAATGTTTTGGCATAATGTTTTGTGTTTTTGCTCTACAAGATAATGTTTTCGGTTTTTTGTTTGGATTTTTTGTCATTTTTTAGATCATTTAAATGGAGTGTCAAGTCGACAAAATCGAGCATTTTCGACACCATCTTCTTCTTGCGTCTAATCGAGGCACCAAAGCCGCAGAAGCTGCCGAGAGATCTGTGCCGTGTACGGAGAGGATTCTATTGCTGAAAGAACGGCTCAAGATTGGTTTACGAAGTTCAAAGACGGCAATTTCGACCTCGAATTTGATGAAGAGCGTTTGAATCAACTTTTGCATGAAGACGAGCGCCAAACCACTCGAGAGTTGGCCGAACAAATGCGATGTGACCAAAAAATTGTTGGAAACCACCTTAATCCATGGGAAAAGTTCAAAAACTTGGAGCTTGAGTTCCATCTTTTGACCGAAAACAATAAAAACCAGCGATCCACGATTTCGGCCAGTTTGCTTGCTCGTCACCGCTCTACACACGGCCACAAACAACGTTTTCTTTACCGAATTGTTGCAGGAGACGAAAAATGGTGCCTGTACGTCAATATGAAACAACGCAAAGAATGGCGTAATCGAGGTCCTTGAGGTCGAAATTGCCGTCTTTGAACTTCGTAAACCAACCAAATTCTGCGGCTTTGGCGCCTCGATTAAACGCGAAAAGAAAATGGTGTCGAAAATGCTTGATTTTGTCGACTTGACACTCCATTTAAATGATCTAAAAAATGACAAAAATTAATCCGAAAGAAAACCGAAAACAGTATCTTGTAGAGCAAAAAATTTTCTTTCAAGTAACACAAAACATTATGCCAAAACATTTCATTTTCAATGCGCAATTTTGAATTAAAAAACGGCGGGAACTTATTTCTTAACGCAATATGTTTAACCTTTCCAAGGGTCGCGATTTGAATCTTTTTGATATTGGATATAATCTTGCTAAATAATCTCCTCTTTTTTTGCTTACTTCACATTTCTGTGCTAAAGCTTAGATCCGTTATTCGATCATTTCTTCTAGACTCACCTCAAAAGATGTTTATAAACTTGCGTGATAAGCCAACAGGACCGCATAGTACAAGAGTGAAAATT